AGTGGCCCTGATACGAATGAGGATGGTGTGTAGCTATTGTGGCGACATGACCAGAGGACACCAGAAGAGTCGATGTAGTAGGGGACACCTGAGATGAAAGACCAGCAGAAGAGACCACAACAGCTGTGGATCCGGGAGATACCGTCTGCACTGTTGGATGCAGAAAAGCACCAGCTGCACAGCCCGTTGTTCCCGACTGAGCAACTATCATAGTGTGAGTTGCTGGTCCAGCAACAGCCAGCCCAGCAGCTTGTCCGACCGGACTCGCTGGTAGCAACTTATGGCCAGCAGTAGGAAAGGTGGCAGCAACTAGTGGCATAGTATGGCCTCCGCCAACGCTTTGAGTGGCTCTGACAGCTCCTTGTGGTGCCGAAAGCAGACTGCCGGTGGAAGTCATTTGAAGATGACTATTAAGGCCTAGCTGAGAAGATATAGGGACCCCTTGTGGAGTAGAAAGTCTGAAGTGAGTTGAGCCAGAAGGTCCTGTGGCTAGAAGTGCTCCCCCGTGGGGTCCCGTACCTATCTGACCACCAGGCTGAGATTGAGTGAGTTGAGGTCCAGTTGCAGCATGTAGCGGCAAAAGAGTGGCAGGCTGTAGCAGGGTTGTCGGGCCTGTGGTGACACAGGACAGCTGATGACAGCCCGGGGCCGAGGAAACGAATAAAGGGCCGCCGGCTGAGACCGAATTCGAGCACAAGGGACCCGGACCAGCATTGCTGCAAGGTACCATAACATTAGCAGAGCCAGCACAATGTCCAATACCAGAAGGGGAAGCACCTTGAATTGGGCGAGACACACGGAGGGATGGATTACTCATGAAAGCAGGATTAAACGAGGCAGTGCCCATAGTGGAAGATGAGCAAGACGCGGTCGAAGTGGTGCAGGTAATTTGTGCGGCTGCCAGTGGCTGAAGGGTAACCCCGGGACTGGTTGAGAAGGCTGGTGACGCAGTCAAGACTAGAAGATATTAAAAAAGGTCCATCAGCTGAAATGACTATCAAATGCTGACGAGTGAACCAATCGTACTAATTATGAAAAGCTTTCGTGAAAAACTAAAAATATAAAGTGATAATGATCAATTTATGTTACAAGGTATATGGAACAGGAATAAGCCAATGTAGATCAAGAAATAATCAACAAAAGATAGCTATACTCGTCATCTTCCAAAAGGTAAGGATGAACTATAAGGCAAATAAGAAAACTTATAATCAGATTGGGATCAAAAGCCAAGTAAAAATATGGGCCAAAAAGTAGTGAGATCGAAAAGGCAAATAACATTAAAATCTGTTACTAGAAAGTATACTGACTTACCAAGGTAAAGTGGGCGAAGCTGTCAAAATTATTTAAAAAACAATGAAAACTGTTTAAATCAGCTAACGGTCGATCATGTTGAAGTACTTCAACGGTTGTATTATGTTTCACTGGACCATCCTCCAAGATCCGACAGTGAACCAAATCAAGGAGGGTCGAATAGCTATCAATCATGTTATTCCTTGATAAGTAATCGTTACTCTTTCTCCAATAAGAACTTCGATGTGAAATTGAGAAGCCATTTTACCGCAGGAGTATAGAACTACCGATTTCAAAAGAATACGCAAATAACTAAACCTTAGTCTCTTAAAAGATAAATTTTAAGGTCGTAACAGGAATAAATGATGTGATAGGCAGAGCCGAATACACGAGATAGCTAATACATTTATTTCTAAAAATAGAATTAATGAAATACACACGTTGGCGCATAAATAGTAACCAATATGAGACAAGTAACAGATAGATAGGAAGTATAATGGTAAGAATTAGCGCGCAAAATATGCTTCGTTTATAGTGGCAATAGTCTGTATGAGATAAATAGTCACTGAGGGGGAGAAGAGGAGTAAGGTATAACTAACTAGATGTGGCTCGGGAAGTCCATTGTAAACAAAACAAAGCACACTTAACCGAATTTAGTCTTCATAACCAAGACCAAGTTTAGGGAAACAGCATAAACTTTATCCGTTAAGTAAGAAAAAGGAGCAAAGTCAATAGGTAAATAAAGTGGGACAAAGTTATATTTGAGAGGTATTCATGATGTATACAAAGTAAAATGAGAAAATAAAGAAATTAATTTAAATTAGAAACTGACAAGTTAGCACGTATAAGCCAGAAGAAACTCGCGCACAAATCTATCCTAGTCAAACATTATTGCAAGAGTTCATGCATATTGGAGGAGAAATGCGAGACAGCTGTAAGAAATGTAATGGGCAGTGATAAAGAAGAGAATAGATGAGAATCAAAAGCCTCATAGATATGAAAACCAAGATGGTGTGGCCTTCTGTTTGGTGGCAGTCTCCTATAGCTTAAAAGTGATGGTTCTACCTTATTTTCGCAACTTGGTCGGTGCGTCGGGAAACGTACCTAGTCCCATGTCTTCTGCCATAGAATTCGTGATTTCCAGCATCGGACGATTGACTTGGTTCATTTCCAAATGTTTCACCGGCATCGTCAGTAAGAGGTGCCATCGTAAGCACAAAGTTACAACTTATCAGTGACAAATGAAGGCAATCCACTTAACCAGTTTTCTGTTCAAACCTAGTGGCATCACTCCTCGTCTCAAATTTCGAAGTAGTCATTCAAATATCGCATAAATACTCAGCAAATGGCCTAATACTGAAAATCACGAATACTATGGCAGAGGACACGGGACTAGGTACGTTCCACAAGGTCTCCCTGAGATTGCTACCAAGTTGCGAAAACAAAGTCGAACTAACATTATCGCATAATTACTGTCGACTGCTGGGTAATACGTTTTGAAATTCTCCTCAAACATTTTCATGAAGGCATTAGTCAAGAGGTGAGAGTGGTGAGCCCATAGGCAGACCAAATATTTACTCATAGATGCGGCCGTTGAACGTGAAATAGGTCGTTCTTATTGTTAAGTTGATTAATTGGGTTAGGGGCTCTCTACGCATTTCCTTTTGCCAAAATCTCTAGTAGTGCAGTGAGTGCTTTTGCTCCCGTGATGTTAGTCTACATAAACTGTACATCAAAGCTCGCCAAAAGGAGCATTCCAATAAATTGTGTGTTAAGCTATCTCCGATCTTTCCGTATCCATTTTTCCTCATAGTCGCTGGTGTTCTTTGATCCTTGTGCTGATTGTCCTTCCCGTATC